CAGCTGGCTGGACGGGCACTGCCTCCCAGATCTCCGCACACATCAGGTGTCCGACCACTGCCTCCCAGATCTCCGCACACATCAGGTGCCCGACCACTGCCTCCCAGATCTCCGCACACATCAGGTGCCCGACCACTGCCTCCCAGATCTCCGCACACATCAGGTGCCCGACCACTGCCTCCCAGATCTCCGCACACATCAGGTGCCCGACCACTGCCTCCCAGATCTCCGCACACATCAGGTGCCCGACCACTGCCTCCCAGATCTCCGCACACATCAGGTGCCCGACCACGGCCTCCCAAATCTCCGCAAACATCAGGTGCCCGACCACTGCCTCCCAGATCTCCGCACACATCGGGCGCCCGATGATCGAATACGCGCTAGTGGCAGCGAGAAGACCAGTGGGAAACTCATCGTTTAGACTTGTTCGCCTTTTCAGGAAATTTCACTGATCTCCGCGGTGGATTTTTGACTACGCGTACTGAGAATGAACTGAGAACGCCGTCGCAATAGTTATCAATCTCAAAAGGTGGATGCCAACTCAAGTTGCTTGGTTGAAGGCCACATAGTTCTGACATCCGGCTTGGGATGACATTATCCGGGATCTTACACGGTGAGCTGTCTTGTGATTTCGTACTTATGCCCAGTGTTTATGGTTAACGTGCTCTTTCCGTCATCATATTGGCATTTTCCCGCGTTTTTACAACAGCGTATTTGCGGTCAGACGAAGTTTGATTGGAGTGGTGATGTCAGGTTGTAAAGAATCCTACTGAAGTGCAATCACCGCAATGCAAGTTAAGCTAGAGATCCCTGAGACCAGACAATCATCATGTGTTGCCGCTGTGCGATTGTACTGGGTTATCAGTCAGTGCTGTGAACGAAGTAATATACGTTCTCAATGTTTTCGTGCCGACCACACCAGCAGAAAATAGCCTCAGTGTCTCCCTACTCCATAAGTGATCAAGGTGAAATGAAGATGTCTTCCCATCTGGGAAGACGTCTGGGAAAGATTATGGGGGTCCTACGGTAAAAATTAAGACACCTGCACCTAATAAAGATTCATCACTTCAGCAAGTCTACGGGACCTACGTCGAGAATGCCATTCCATTCTCGACACGACGTTGGCGCTAAATAAGTAATGCGCATTGACATAGTGCCTTGATGGTTTAAGGACAAACAAAGTTTAAGGGAATCGCTTTTATTTGATGGATAATTGCACACAAGGTTATGCATGGGTGGTATCATTGCCTTTCATTTACCTCCAAACGTAGCTGTTTCATCTCCACCAATGTCCTCAAACCTCCGTGATAGCTGAGGTATGCGGAAGGCCTCGCCAAGTCGCCTGAGCGCTGGATCCGACACAAACCGGCCAAGTCGCTGGTTTGGCTGCATCCCCCTACAGGAAAAATTGAAATCGATTTCGTACTCGCTATCAGTCTATCATCATGTGTTTTCATTGACTGCTTCCCAAATTAACCGTTCCCTGTTGCATAACAAGCACCATCCTGATGCCGTCTTGGGATTACCCACGGCGGCTAGTGGAAACTCCTAGAGCGTCTTGCCTGTCAGCGACCCTCCGTTCAATTAACTATGGTATTTACCAGATGATAGCAGACACGGTCACGTCATGGGTTTCTCCTGCCGGATTATCTGCCGCGCGTCATCGATATCTTGCCCCAAGTCAATACACACCTAAATGCCCTTCACGTTGCCGCGTGTTTTGTTATTGTCGCGGCATGTCAGGAGAGCGAGAGACGTGTCAGGCAAGTGGCTAACATTTTCATCAGAGGCGGGGTCAAATCGCCTCCGAATTCCGACGAATTTGAATAAATTCCTGCAAAATTGCCAAGTAACCAGTGTAAGCGCTTGACTTCGGGACCATAACCACATATTCCCTCTTGACTACATCATTGGGGCTTTACGTCGCACTCAGATGCTGAGACTATATGTTGTCGGCTGCCGCTCACCCTGGTAATACGGGCGAGCACCGCAGGGACCTTCTTGACTACGTTACTGGAACATGTCATTAGTGCATTGCATTACGCAGTTTCTCAGGGAGGTCAAGCAGCTTCTCAAAGGTCTCCTCGAAGGGAGTGGTCGAGTGGTGTCGACAAAACCTCTCAGCGAGCGACGCTAATCGTGCGCGACGGACCTAGCGCGATGCGACGGAGGCCGCCCAGTTTCGAGAGATAACAACAAACGAGCCCGGATCTGCGCGACGGCGTGCTGAGTTCTGTGACAGGCCAATCAGCTGTCTTCAGGTCGGCTCGTGCGTGTCTGCGACGCCGCGGGACGGGAGGGGGGGGGGAGGGGGGGGGGGCGGACCGTCACCGTCTGCCCTCGGTTTACTCGGCCATCATGAACCAGGATGCATCACATTTACTCAGCGATGACGGCCGCGTGAGCCTGCACACATCTGTTTAGCCAAGAGTCAAATTTAAGCTGTCCGAAAACAATGGCTTTCATACAGGGCTAGGCCATGTTTCGCACGACACCTGACTGATACTCAGACGTAATTTTTGCTGTGAAATTCCGAAATTTAAAATGCAGGCTTCTGTCGTTTGGAGTAAAGCCTCATCCAAGGAATGCAAGCTCCTGTCGCTTGGAGTAAAGCCTCATCCAAGGAATGGTGCTGAGCTTGGATTACGTATAAACGTGCGTCAGAGATTAGGTGATGCAATGAATAACATATATTTGAACATACGCTGGTCGAAAAGATTATACGACCTTCGACTGCCCTGGCGCGTACCACCAGCGCTGATATACTTTGGGGGTGGGTTGCAAAAGGACAATGCAAAAAGGTGTAAGGATTCCCTCTTTTCTATCCAGAGGAGAGCAAAGATTGTCAGATTGAAACCAATGAAATGTAGCATGATCTTTTCACGGAACCTGACGTTGTCCGAGCTAACCACGGCTGCATGTGCTGTAAGAGAGCCAGCTTCTAATTGGGTTGTGGATACAGACACCAGGGCTGACTTAGACACACCCTAAACACCCAGACCTCAGGTCAGCTGCAACTCTTCAAGCTCGGCTGAATGCTACTCTGAATGGGACAAAAAAACCTGGAAAACACAGCCGGCTGTCGTCATCAAGACTCCTTCTTCTCAGTCGCATCCTCGGTGATTTTCGCGCATCTCGGCTCCTGAAGTACACCACTAAGTCCTCCATCACTTCTCTGTGGTCGTGCATGTCCGTGTCCAGCTCCGGGGCGGTCAGCAACTGCAGGGCTTTAAGTGCCCATCCTCCACTGGCCGGGGAGTACAGTCGGACGACCAAACTAGTTCGCCGAGCTGCAGCAGCAGTCAGGGCAGTCCAGTCTGTCCTGTCGAACCCGGTTCAGTCCATCCAGTCCACTCATTCTGACTTTATTCCAGTCCGTTCCAGCCCAACTCCAGTCCAATCTATACCGTCCATCACCAGTCCAGTTCATTCCTGTCTGTCTGCCTTCAGTCCAGACCGGCTCTATTCTAATATATCCCGTCTACCGTCAGTTCACTCCAGTCTGTTTCCATCCCGGTTCAGCCCGACTCTGGCTCACTCCGTCCGACTCCGCTGCAGTCGGCCTCCGCCCGCCGCCGGTTCTCACCCTCCCGACAGTGCCGCCCCCTCCCCCCTCCCTCCAGCCCTGACGGCTCTGCCGGGCGGGCCGGCCGCCTGGGATCGTACCCGGACCTGGCGCGTCGACAGCGGCCGCTGCCGCCGCCGCCGGCGCCGTCGCCCGTCCCTGCGCGGCTTACCGACGGCGACGGCGCCGGATTAGCTGGCGGGATGTGCGACCGGTCCGACCGGTTTGCGCCTTTTCCCCGGGCAGCAGATGAGAGGTGGAGGAGGGGGAGGAGGGCGCCCGCTGCCGGCGGCACTCTACAGCACCCCTCCCCTCCCGTCGCCGGTGGTTGACCCCCGGCCGGCCGATGCCAGGAAGTCACGGGGCGCGTGTGTGCCGCGGGATAAGGGCCGGTCACGTGGGCTATTGAGATTAAAGAAGCTGCGCTGACCGGCTGTCCGCAGAACACTTGCGTGTGCTGCTGCGAGGAGAGCGGAAGCCGGCTACTGCGGTGGTTCGGGCCGCGACGAAGCTATTCCGGAGCTTTCCTCATTTCGTCTTCGGTGGGAGGTGCGATGGAGATTATCGCCGCGGAGTTGTTATGCGTGACAGATAGCTAACGATTCGAAAGTGTCCGAACCGGTGATTTTCCCACTGGGTATTAACTAGCATCATCCTGTCAAAGACTGCTCATCTTCACATTGCTAACACGCAAATTAAAATTGATAACCGTGGAGCTTTCTTCCACCGAAATGGTAGAGGAGGATCTAGCCTTAACATATAATCCTGGAAAGACAATGGTGCAACGGTGACTAGGTTTTCCCAGACTTCACAGTTTCCGTAATCTTTCGTGCCGTAAAATGCATTTGTGCCGAGGCGTAAAGATGGTGATGATTAGGGTCTTGGGTGCGCCAACCATTGTGGTCATTTACGCTCATATGCCGAAACGGCTGAGATGAGGTGGTTGCACGCACACCATATTTGGTAAGGAGCAATGCACTCCCTAACCACCACGCGGGTGCCGACAGAAGAATGCTCTTTCCTGCCACAACACTTTCATCTGTCGGCCACATTTAATGCCATAACCGTGCCGGTGCGTCTTACTCGGTGGCTTAGTCGGCGCGGCTGGGGGCGTCACTGCCTGTGATCCGCGTCTCGGCACAGAGCCATCAAGCCGTTCCGAAAAGACCGGAGCACGCACGTGTGGCCAAAACCCGCGTCCGGCCGGTTTATAGGCTCAGCTGAGCTGAGCTGAGGTAAAGTGAGCTGATGTGAACTGAGCTGAGCTGAGCTGAGCTCACCACCAGCGCTGACCCGAGCGCCTGTTCTGACCATGATGACGACGCTGATTCCGCCCCCCTTTTTTGACTGTGCCGATGCCGCCGCCGCAGCTGACCGCGCCGGGCGGTGCCCCGCAGGACAGCACTGACGATGTCCGCCGCCCGCCGGTGCCGACCGCTGCGGCTGCTGACGCCGCTGCTGCTCGCCTGCCTGCTGCCGGCCGTCGGCGGCCTCAGCCACAGCCAGTTCTGGGCGGCGCAGATTCGGAAGAGGTCCGCTAACCTCGACACGCACCAGGCCAGCACAGGTACGAGCCGGCGTGGCCGCGGCGGCCGCCGCCCGGAGCGCGCCCGGCGCACGTGAGCGCGGCCGCTGCAGCTGCTGGGCAACCGTCGTTACGGAGGAGACCATGCACGAGATCAGAGGTGTAGTTTCACAAAATAACTATTTAGGGGGGGGGGGCTAAACGGTAAAATTGACTCGACTTACCCTCAAAATATGCCAAAAGATGTTTCCCACATTTGGCCCAATTTTATAGATATCATGTATAGACGCTCATAAGACACCAAACATCACAAAAGATCATTGAATCATATCAAAAGGAATTGCAGGTCATCTAGGCCGTTGGGCTAAAATTCCAGTTTTAACACGCCGCTAAACTATCCAACTTCGTGCAGTTCCTTCTCGACTTAGGGTGCAAAATCACTGGCCAATATTGGTTGAAGACATATTTTATTCAGCCATCATCCCGTATAATTCTTATGATCATTGGTGCGTACATTTCTTACAGTTCTTAATGAGAAGTACATTGACTTCGTCGCAGCAATGGCGCCCGCGGGCCGTGGTGTCGCGTCTCTTGGATACTCGGACGTTCACTATCGTAATTATAAAAAAGTCGAAGGCACGAGCGCGAATGCACCTGTTTTATTATTATCCACGACAACTGCTGCCGTAAGGAAGACGACTTATGTACAATGCTTTTTCTTACATATGGCACCTATCTTTTACTATACCTATCGGGCAGCCCGTTTGCTTTGCTTCCTGAAGGGAAGGCAGGGACGGCTAACTTCCAACCGCAGTGTACAAGAGTGAGGGAAGGAAATACATGAACGTCACAATTAACCGTTCTGTCACGACAGCATCAGCTGTGCGAATCCCCACCTTTTTACCAGGTACATGCACACCGTCCACATCTACCGCGACGCGCCGATGAGCCCATGCGGTGATGGCGCTCCCGTTCAGGGAAGGCATTCCACAAGCGTGATCCGAGGATCCTGAATATCATCGCTACGTCATGACGTCACTGAGGAACCTTGCAAATAACGTCCGATCTCCGCTGATGTGGCAATCTGGGCCGGTCCTCAGACAGACGCCTGAAACCTTCGCAGAAGTTTGCAAGCGTCGCAGCATCAGCACCAGTCCGAAAGACTGTATCTGTTTCGGTATCTTACTGGACCACAGTATAAGCTTGACCAATGCACTGATCAACAGTGTCGGTCCTGCCAAAGTGTGTGAGCTGTTGGCAGCGTGGACCAGCAGACCCGCCGTGCTGCAATGCGGAGACACCCCCACAAAAGCCTCTTGTTTTTGTCGCCGTCGGACCAGTTTTCGCCTATAGGTCTCGTCGGTAGTTTTTGCCGCCCTCCTGATACCTTGATCTTGATGCCAATCGGCCACCGTCATCAAAGTGCCAGCCGTCTGGGAACGATCAGCGGTCGAATGACCAGCACTAACGACCGTCAAAATCGGGGTCTCTTCTCGACACGGCAGCCCTAGCGTGACCGGTCCTACGGCCGGAAGCCGGCAGGCGGATAGTGTGCTGTGTACTGAAGGATGCTCAGCTTATCGCCGCCATAACTTCAGAACATGCACAGGAGTTATTAATGATAAAAACGTGGTGACAGGTAGTGTGAAGTGGTGCATTTGACTTGGGTTACCTACCTATAGTGTATGGATATGTCTATGTCATGTCTACGATATATATATATATATATATATATATATATATATATATATATATATATATATGTATGTATATCGTACTCTCTCTCTCTCTCTCTCTCTCTCTCTCTCTCTCTCTCTCTCTCTCTCTCTCTCTCTCTCTCTCTCTCTCTCTCTCTCTCTCTCTCTCTCTCTCTCTCTCTCTCTCTCTCTCTCTCTCTCTCTCTCTCTCTCTCTCTCTCTCTCTCTCTCCCTCTTTGCAGACATGCTCACTTTTGCTTATTGACTTATTGACTGCTGTCGTTATAGGTTAGCAAGAGTACATACGTGCTTCCACCAGCTTAAAAGGGAGGCAGCTTTTACCATTTTTGAGTAACTGCATGCACGGTTCCGACATTTCTCCTGATCTGTTTTACGTTTCTTTTGCCATCGGCTCGCTATTTGCATCGCAATAATTCCGCAAATTTGTGACTGTAACAACTGCCCTTTGAGCTGTACAGCCGTTGTTGCAACCAGAGTTTCACCATGGATGTTGAGCTGGGGAAGGCAGAATTTTTCAACAGGCTTCCAGGCCAGATGGAGCCTTTCCACAGGGGCGCCTGCTGGTCAGTGGCGTTTATAAGGGGTCACCAGAGGCACGTGTCTCCTTATTGAATAGTTAAATGCAATAGAATCGATGTGGAAAGATATCGAAAATGAAAATTAGAGAAAGACCCTTGAAAAATATATAAATTGGAAGCGCCCGATGTTTTGAATGATGACTACCGTCCTCCAATGCAAAATCATGCAAGCATCCTGCTCCTGGGCGACACGTCCCCATTTGTGTATCCTTAGTTTAGACGGGAAAGGCGCGAGCGAATTTACCCGGTAGCCTATTTTAACACATCAAAACTAACCCCAAAGCTTGTTAGTACAAAAAGTGCTGCGTTTGTAGACATCAGCATGCTGCTCATTAGACACGTTTAAGCATAAAAGACAGCATAATTTTGTGAGAAGTTATTGTGGTTGTTGCTTACTGAATAGCGATATGTTTGATCACTGTGAGTAGATGATATCAAAGCAGCGTTTGTATCCTCAGTGCCAGGGTAGACAAAACAATGCAATTATCACTACGCATAACATGTTTCTGCGATTGCCAATGGATCCAAGGCCTTGACATCAACTGGTGTATGTCCTTGTTTTTCACATCAATAAATTCCAACAACATAGCCTGCTTTAACTTTGACATCGATTTATAGTTGTCTCTTAACTGAACGGCATACTCTTAATTGAACAGAAATCGCCACCACTGTGGTATGCAAATTCGCTGCAACATAATACGTTGAGCACGTCCCCATGTCTCCGACCGAGACCTATTTGGCCAACGCCCCATGTGTGGCCATCCCTTTCACATCGTCTTGTTGCATGCAAGCCTGATGAATATCCATGCAGCGTGAAGTTATGCAGCTAGGGTTAGCGCCAGACACCGGTCGGTGGGGTCCTATCGGCGATACTGTTGCCTGCCTTCTTACAATGTCCATCTGTTTGGCGGCCTCGTCAGCTTGGCAAGTGGCGCGCATCTGTGGTCTGCGGCGTTGTAGAAAACACCGGTCGGCGCCGTCTCGAGTAGATGCTCTTCACGACGTGAGATCCTCGTGACAAATCGTCAAGCACCGCCTGCCAACACGTGCCATCATTTCATCTTTCACCATCTGGTTTACTGCAGATGTCATAGGAGTAGCGAACAAAATTTAGTGCATCGTGGTGGGATTTTGTTAAGTTGGCCGACAAAGTCGCATTCTCAGCCATTTCTTTTCATGCGATGTTAAGTTTTCCCGAAGTTCGGAAGTTCGGGGTAGAGAAAGATAAACATTCACCTCCATGCCGTCATAAATCGCACCCCTGACTCATTCTGAGCGATGGAAACACAACAGCGTTATTAAATAAAGACATCATATTATATACTTTCCGTGAAAAGGTGCGTCTGCTTGTACATCTTCCGTCTGTCTCCGTTTGATTGCTCATCGTTGTGCAGGTTAAACAGAGGGCAGAAAGACCCTGTAATTTTCATACCATGCATGTAAGAGCGTAAGGAGTGCACATGCGTGTTAACAGCTGGGTCGCAATATTATTTGATGACGCGCAAAAAATTACAGCCAGCGGCACACTGAACTTGATTTAAGTGAACATTTTTTAGTTGTACCTGCTGCATGGGACGCGTTGAAGTAAGAGGCGCATTTGGAGCCACCGCAAAATTGGGAGGGCATGACCGTGTTGGCTTATGCCACCAATGCGTAGGTGTGCAAGGGAACTTTGCGGTTGTTGTTTGGGCGCACACATTTGCCCCAAAATCGCCAGACACCATCAAATTATCTGCAGTCTCATACTGATAGGTAAGTAGTGACTAGTATGGGCGATGCTTTGAACTGACCGTGCCACGCTGTGCTTAAAAAAGGTAGCTGGACAGCGCATCAGACCACAAGCAAAGGAAGCAGGCATGGATGCTGAAAGCGAAGGCAAGAAGCACATGAAAACCTGCCTCCATTCTCTCCCCGTCCCCGCTTTCCCCTACCTTCGGAAAAAACCGCAGTAACAGGTGCTGTATGCGTGCCACAAGAGTGGTCAGCTGCATCCCACGTCCACGAAACCGAACGTAAACATAATAACGCTGTGGGGGAAGAGCCGGGGAACAAATCGCCTTGTCTCAAAAACCTCTCAGAGAATTCATCATCACCGGAAGCGATGTGGTCGAAAGCCGGCAGGTTCTACGGCAAAAGGGCATGTCTCAATTACAACTGGATGTTTCTTGCATGATGCCATGCTCCTGATCCACGGTAACATACAATTTGCGTTGACCCGCCAGCTGGATTCTTCGCATTTTTCGCGTCCGTTTTATCTTGCTTGCGGTCGCAGTTGTTCATGAAATTGAACCAATCGAAATGGAATCCAGCAGTGCTGTCACAAGCATCACAAACATCTGTTGGTCATGCCATTGCCCAAATTTCGGCCTGTACCTACACCAATCAAATCCCATCTTACAGAGACGGTCACATGTAAATATGATCCAAAACATGCGATATCATTTTAAGGTTGCAATGCATTTTGCGTACCTGACTGTCTGTCTATTCTGTTCTGTTTGAATTGTGTGACTTCGCAAAGGCGGCTCCTCGCTCTTTTTTTTTGTTCTCTTATTTTTTTATTAAAGAACGACTGACTCGCCTAAGAATGCTTGGCCGCATGCACCATGCGTGAACCCACCGCGACGCCGATATCTACCTAAGTTGTCTGAAAGACCTGGTCGGACGTGAGCTGCCGGCAAAACCAGGTTTTCAATGGGGGTTGGGGGTTGGAGGGGGGGGGGGGGCTGACAGTCACTGGTAGGGATCATCCCCCACCTCTCAGTCAACATATTGAAACAGGCCCTGGAATGCTTTCGCAAACTTGTCAACCGAATAAAACCACTAGCTTAGAAACAGGTAGGCAAAGCACACAAGTCACTACCATCCTGGTCAATAAATCAAGCAACCATCTGAATGAACAAATGCATTAAGCCTATTATTCTAGGATTATTACGATGCCTGTTCGGAGTTTTCTAAGTTTTTGTGAGCGGCGGGAGTTGGAAAGAAGTGCTTACTCTTAGCTAAGACTAGCGGACCTCTCTCTGAATTTCGTCAACGTCTGCGCAGCCCATACCTGAAATAAATCTCGAGTATAAGTTAGAGTAAGCTGCTGAAATGGTGATGTGAGTTGGAAACCACCACCAGCCAAGAGCAGGGTGCCTGCTTGCTAACGATGGTAGCAAAATCAGTACCACCATCTTTGACCGATGAAAATAGGCCTCGTTCAAATGTCCTTCACGCATGCATGCGTTTCTAGCATGCTCAGACACACACTGAAATATGGTCGCTACTGCCTCGCTATCATCGCGCCGTATATGGCGACACAATAAGAAAGAGCGCAGCAGCTCTGCATTGCACGTGATGTGCAATGCACGCCGCCGGCGCCGAAATGCGAGGCCTTCCGCCGGCTGTCGGCGCTTCCCTCCCCCACCGTCTGCCCTCCCCCATCTCGGGACTGGCAGGATGTCCGGTGGCGGGCCGTTTGATAGCGTCAGAGGCCGTTCATCGCGGCCTGAGGTCACGCACGTGGTCCATGAGGCGGGGGCGGGGAGGGGCTGACGGAAAGAGGCGGCGATAACCCCCCACGCTGTATCCTGAAGGTACTCCGGGCGGAAGTTGTGAGGCTAGCTGGTTTGTGGAGGATCGACATGCAGGTATAAAGCGAATAAGAGAGGTGTGTCTTCTTCGCTGCTCAGTCCAAGGACAACGCGCCTCTTCTCGCAGCAGTTGTCAAAACCATGCCGCATGATTCAGCGCTAGAAACGCGTTACTTTTTAGCCATTTAGTGTCACTTAAAAGTATTTATGGCAGTGGAATTAGTCATCACAGTAGTTATCTTTAATGTATGAGTGCTACGGAAAATCACACATCTTCCTCGGTCATCGTTAGAGAAAGGTTTCTTAAAACCATCTGAAAAACAAGCAAAATGAAGCAATGAGTACGTAAAACACTTCATCTAAGTACTCAGCCCGCGCACTTACGGGGAAAGAGGTATCACCAGATCCGGATTATAAGGAAAGGGCTATCATCAGATCCGGATTTCATCAAATGCTCGAGGAGAGGAGAAAGCCCGATCAAAATGCTTCCAGACGACTTTTCCGTGATACATTTTACACAGACTTGCGAAAATCACCGTCGCCAGTTGATGATTACGCTTAGAACGGGGAATACACCCCCAGCCAGCCTCGGCCAAGCCCGGCGGCGCCGTCCCGCCGCCAGACAGCTGGAGGCTGGCCGGGGTCGGCAGGCCGCCGGCGCGTCGCCACGTGCGTCACCCGCCGGCTGACCGGCCTCAGCGCGCAGGCATTAAGCCAATCCAGGGGCACGTGCCATCTCTTTTTTCACACATTGCATCTGTCAGTCGGCGCTGCCTGTCAGGCAGCGCCGACAGCCAGCGACGGGGCGTGTTATCAGTATCCGCGACAATAGCTCAGTTTGTGAGAGCACGTGCCTCACCGATCACCCGGCCGTGGCGTGGTGGTTTGATTCGCTTTAGCCACGCGGTATTTACTCCAGGCTAGAAAGATCTGCGGCGGTGGCAGCGGCCGCGCTAGGAGTCGAGTGACACCAGAAGGCGGAGTGGACTGGACCGAGCAGTGCAGCTCGGCAAAACCCTGCCGTTGATCTTCATACCACGATCGGATAGTGGGGTCAGGTGTCACGGGACAAGTACTGCTCAGCGACTGCGCTGATCCTAGAAATCAATCAAATCCAGATATTCCGGCAGTATTACGGCCATGGAAGCCACACAAGTCATCGGGAAGCTGGAAACCAAGGCGGCAGAAGTCACGGTCTGGGCTGTGTGGAGTGAGGACAGAGCGCCGTAATCTGACGAGGGAGAGGACGCCGATCGGTGGAAACGGAAGACGAAACGAGCAAAGACGGACCTCCAGAAGCGGAGTTGTTCTTTCGCCAGGACCACCCCAGCTTCGGGCTGCGTGAGAGACTAACAGAAAGTGCCGCTGGTTGTCATCGAGACAATCTGGCACGTGAAGATGGGAGAACAACAACATCCTACCAGGGGTCTCTGTCCACAGATTACACGTTGGATCAGGACCAGGACGCATTTGCATTGGCCTTGGAGCCCCTTGCAGTGCTTTAGGAAGTATTCCGCAGCCAAGGTTTCAATTGATTACATCCTAGAATGCAGCTTTCGTGAATACCACTGGCACATGTTGATCTGGATATTGACCTAACCGTCGTCTGTATGCTCACGTCTTGTCACCGGAAAACGGCTGCAGGCTCTCGATCTAAACTGAAGGAAATGGCACGGATAAACGGCTCTGAGTCATATCAACCTACGATCCGGTCGTTGTCCGCAACAGGTCATACACGGGACTGGCGATCTCGCAATGTGCCAAGGTTTCTGCGCGCCATATTTCAGGCGATTATGACGACTAACAAGCGACATGCGAGTCGGATGAGCCGAGCCCACCATTTCGCATAAGTTACGGTGGCCCAGCTGCGCATGGCTCGTGCACACGTCTCTGTGCATGTGACGGACGCAAAGTGGTATGTTTTTAGAGGGTTACTTTCGATTTGTCACCTCTTTGTTGCAGGTTGTGAAATTCGTGAGAAAGCGGTAACCATGATCAGCTTGACACCCAGTTAACACGCGCTCGGGTGGGGGTCGAACTGACCCTCCAAAGGTTTTTCCGGAATGGTTTCCGAACGGCGCGGCATAGCCAAGCCAAATTCTGCATAGTTGTAGACAATTGAATACCGGGTCGTCTGGCTTCAACCATTTAAATGTACCCTGTAAGGTCGCTAACCTATGGCAGGTCAAAGTTAGGCCATGGTTTCAACGAAGCCAATTTCTAGGGAATCCTGCAATCTAATCCAACAACGGAGCGCCAGGCTAGTACTAGAAATTGTGGAGGCCTACATCGCTGTGGCAATGCCCGCTCCCCTGGCTGCCACCGTCTTCGTTGAGAGTCTGCTGCACGCACCAGTGTTCATTAGGCCAAGTGTCCTGCCAGGTGGCTGCCGTGCGTGACGCGGGCGTTCCACCATCATGTACGTAGTGCACGGGATGTGCAATCGCGGTACAACCCGGCTGATTCACAGTCGAGTGTGTTCGAGTGGAGGCATTGCCTGCGGGAGGCTTGTTATCATTAGATAAAACTATGTAAACTCGTTCTGAAGGGTCCTGTACACGGCCCTCACAATGAGCCTCCGAGGTTGACTCAGACACTCGGGACACTGTTGTGTAAACCGCTCCATGCTTTAGAATCGGGCTATCTCGGTTGAAAACCCCACGCCACGGCCAAATGTTCCACCGAAAACAAATGCAATTGTTTTGTTGTGTGAGCCATCCTGTATCTCTCGTGTTCTTCAGGGAGGATCATGTTTTAAAATATCTTTACTGAAATGATGCTCAAAGATTGATCTGCTGTTTTAACCATAGGTCTCCCAGCGTGCGACTCTTTTAAAGCGTAGATCCCCCAGCCTAGGGCTCTGTTTAAGCATAGATCCCCCAGCGTGCGACTCTGTTTGCAAACATCACCGAAGAGCACGCTGCCGGGTCTGAAGGCCAGTCCTGTCTTGTCGCCGGGGAAATTATGGCCGCCCTCGGCCGGCACGTGCGCCCGGTACAGTGGACGGCTAGTGACAGCCGCCTCCCCCCCCCCCCCCCCCCGAGATCGCCGCCCGGTATGCAGGGGAGACTCCGTCCGCCCGTCCAACACCTTATAGCTCACCGGGCGCCGTTACAGCGTTAGTAAACACATAAACTTGACCAGGACAGCGCATAAAGAGAGAGAGATAGGCGGTGACATTGTCATTTGTGGCATCGGTGAAGAACGTATCACGTGGTCGATAAGGAAGCAGGTAAACAAGGCGTGATAGACGCCTGCACAGGACAATTTGTAAGGCAAATACAGGTGAGGTCACTATTCGAAGCCAACAAACCTGAGTCGGCTAGTATGTATGTAGTATGCATGTCATACCAGGAAGGAAGTCTCCATTCACTTGGGAGGCTGTGTTAGTCAACGTACAAGGAAATGCTATCGGAATCTAGTTAAATACAGACATAGCCTTCTCTGGGCATGAATTAAATAGTCCACGCCCTGGGATTTTGACCCGAGCCCGTCTGAGCACGTGCCATACTCCCCCTGCTGACAACAGCACCGAGGGCAGCCACGTCGCGTGCGACCAAATGGGAGCATGTCGTGTCCTCGAACCCTCACAGTTCAATTTGATCAGGTCCATACGATTCCAGATGAACTCGAACCGCGAGCGTTATAACCCTCACTGCTAGATAACAGAGCGAGGGAGTGAAGGGAGGGCAGGAGGGATGGGCGAGGGCAGGTCCCAGCAGTGGGTGGTCAGACTTCCCTCAAGCCGATCGTAAAGCCTTGTATTGACCAAATGTAATGCACTGACCAAGGCTTTTGCTCGCGCTCTCAGTAGTAGATTCAGCGATGCGAAAAGCTTCGCAGGAACCGAATGTATGAACTCCAAAACGGCCTATCTATCTGCTGTGTCAATGCGCCGGCCAGGTGAGACACCCGTCCCTCTGACCGTGCCAGAAACCGTGCACGGCTCCGCGACCTGGTTACACGGCTCCGTGACCTGGCCAGAGACCGTACACGGCTCGGTGACGACCATCTGTACAGTGCGCTGTAACTGATGTGCTGATCTGCCGACAGAGACGCCGCCGGACCACGTGACCTACCATGGGTCGGGCCACGGCCTGGAGCCGGACGTGGATCTCAACGGCACGGGCCTCACCATAACGGAGGACCACACACATGGGTGAGCCAGGCGGCCGCACCCCTGCCGGGCGACAGGTCATGGGGACAGGCGGTATTGACAGGCAAGGCCGGTCGACAGATCAGCTAGCTGACAGGTCAGCTGGCTGACAGGTCAGTTGGCTGGCATGTCAACTGGCTGACAGGCGAGCTGGTTGACGGGTCAGCTGGTTGACAGGCCAGGCCGGCTGACAGGTCAAATGGTTGACAGGTCAGCTGGCTGGCGGGTCCGGCCGGTTGACAGGTCAGCTGGTTGACAGGTCAGCTGGTTGACAAGTCGGGCTGGCTTGTGTCAGATGGTGGGACGGGTCGGGTCGACAGATGGAGTGCGCAGGCCACGTTGACGGGTCAGTTGACGGGTCGGTCAGCAGCTGGAATCGTCAGATCGTCCTGCCTGATGAACGCCCGCTCTCAAGTTCTTGTCTAGTCAACTGCCCTTCTCAAATTCGCGATAATGAATAGGCAGTAGAGGGTAAAGAGCACCAGCTCCATCCCTCCGTCTTACACCGGCACTATGTGTAGTGAACCGTGGATTCGCCATTCCCCATGTCTCTGGCGCCGCGGGATCCTTTTCCCCTCCGCTCGTTGCAAGATGCCTAAAGGAGGTCATCTAGTACTCCGAAAGTTAAGCAGGGTAGGAATAAGCAGATTACAGTCTGGGCTCGCTGAATAACTATGCATTAATACTCAGCCCCTAACACCACACGGAGCATTTCACAAGTCACACGACAGCAGCATAGCCAGGATTTACGTAAGGATAAGGACAGAAGACGGGACCTCCGTCAGCAGCTACGTAGGCTGAAACGACTGGAAAGACCACGGCAAGCAGAGAAGGGGAGGGAGGGAGGGAGAGAGGGAGGGAGGAGTGGCTCGGACATATGCTCGGTTTCATAACGGTGACATCTTCGCAAGCTCTCGCTGGGGGCATCCGGGTCCGTGAGCGCCCGGCACCACTCTCACCCGTCCGCGTCGCTCCGCCCCAGGAGCCTACACCGAGAGCAGAGCAAGGCGCACGACGACATGTACGAGTACTGCGTGGAACGCGAGCCGCTCGACCACACTCACGGCATACACGTGGCGTCGTGGCGCTGGGACGAGGTGCGGCCCTACTACGCCATCACCATGTTCATCATGATCGCCGGCCTCGCCAAGCTAGGTGGGCTGCGTGACGTCACGCGTCGGTCGCCGGGAGGGGGCGTCGCCGTCGAGCCCGCGGGCCTGGCGATTGCGGCGCACGTGCCGGCGGCGGAGTGCACCGCCGGAGCGTGCGCACGGAGGCAAAAACACAGGTCTTCTCACTCTTTATTCTAGATGGAAAAAACTGTGATACCTGAAAATTGCGTTGTAAGTATACGATACCGGTCAGTGGCCGAACTGCCGGTCGCGCAGCGCTGTCTTCCGCGGTCTGGCCGTAAGCCATTTAACGAATACCGCGTCGCATTGCTGGTGCCTGACGTGGGCTCTCCCAAGGTCTATATTGAATCAAAAACTCGAGACGTGTGCCGCAGCAAACAGATCGAACAACCGTCGCAAAGCCAGCGAAAGGGTCGGGTGGAGATGCCGCACCTTTTCAGGTGTGCAACTAACGATTATCGAGCATTTCTTTAGGATCTATTGCTTGTTGAAGGATGACAGGATAACAAATATAGATATATTGATATTTTGGGTCACACCTTTGCCTAAACAGTGCACGAACGACCTTTTCATCAATGATGAATAAGGCCAGTGGACTTGGTCTCATATATTTGTAATGCTACTCACAGCTGCATTGTACAATTTACATAGGCAAATAATTGTGCAACGGACCAAATCCCCTAATAGCGAGCACTGCGCAGCTACAGGTGGAAGCAATGCCTGTTGTCCCAGTGCCACCTATGCTCTCCAGATGTCGTCGGTCGATTCGTTAGGTATGCTTCGTAGAGACGCTGATGCATGCTCTGTTCCAGCTTTCCATCACGCTCACTTCCTGTCGTCACGCGTACCAGAGTCATGGTGAGTTTGATAGCTTTGCATGTCTTTATCGCAAGGGTTAGCATTGTTAGGTATCGAGCCCGCATGCACGCTTGTCCGGCTATGACGGCATTGTGCATGTTCATTTTCATGCTTGCATTTTGACACTGCACAGTTACGCCACTTCCTTGGTTCAAGCTCACTGCACGATGAGTGCGACACTGGGAGTACGCGCACCGTCTGTGACTGTGGGTCCACACACAATACCTCAATGTGTCAAGCAGATTCAGCATTCATGAATGAGGATGAATAGCAGAGCTAGCCCGGCTCGGCGGCCGAGCCGTGCTAATTTAGCCGGCGCGTTTCTACCATCGGTCATGCCAAACACGTTCGCAAAGCCGACGGCCGGCCAATCGCAGCATCAAGGGGGCGCTCGAACCTATTTGATGGCCACGGTCCCGCCGTAAAATAGCATTATCCGCCCTGTGTCGCTGCACGGACCTCCGCGCGCGCATCGGTCGTTGGTTACCCACGCCCCGTGCCTGACGACCATCGCTGATCCCTTCCCAGCGAAAGGTCCGCAGCTGAGGGCCTATGCCTCTCTGGTGGTGGTAGGATGTTATATCCGTGCTGTGAATTCTGTACAAGAAGTTCGTGCGTACTTCTGTGACAATGTCGACGTTGTCCACGCCTTCCCAGAAACTCATGCAGCATGCCCGCGTCACTTCAGTGCAGCGCACGTCACGCATGCAAACTAGCGCCTGTGAGTGACGTTATCATTGTGAGCGCCGCACCCGCCGCGCCCTAGTATGGCTGCGACACAGTTACGAGGCGACGCAACTGTTCCCCGAGCTGCTCTCGCTGAAGCGGTGCGACTGTACAGCAACTGGCGCCGTGACTTTGGACAGCGGAAGCTCACCGTAACACCCTGTAGATGTAGTTTCTGTGTAGTTGCCCATGTGCCCTGTAGTTGGCGTGCCTCGTCGCGCCCCTGTCTCCCGCTGCTGAGTGCACGGCTCCGTGTCCGTCTGTTGCAGTCTTCTGATCCTGCTCGGCATCACCATGGGCTTGCTGACGTACCACTTCAGACACCTGTGAGTCAGACCACCACTGCTTAACACTGCTCCTATCGCCGCCACGGCGTTGCTACGTACATCAAGAATCGGTGGCTGGTCCGTGTGACCGCGCCGGGCTTGCCATGAGCCGCCGTTTTTGCGCGAGCGTTGCTTGTCTCTCCGCCACCGCGCTTCGTCGCTTCCCAGCCGGCCGGGTCTAACCTAGAGACGTAACTTTCGCCAAAATAGGGGCCCGCAGCCCAGTCCGCCCCGCCAGCTAGTGATCCAGCCCGTGAAAGCCCACCCCGTGCAGCTAGTGATCTAGCCCGTGAAAGCCCACCCCGCAGCTAGTGATCTAGCCCGTGAAAGCCCACCCCGCGCAGCTAGTGATCCAGCCCGTGAAAGCCCACCCCGCAGCTAGTGATCCAGCCCGTGAAAGCCTACCCCGCACAGCTAGTGATCCGGCCCGAGAAAGCCCACCTCGCGCAGCTATTGATCCGGCCCGTAAAAACGCGCCGCGCTACAACGCTGGCACACCATGAAAGGAAATGCTTCACATTTGCAGATATTGAAGCAAGGCTGCCCGCAGTGCACCGTCTTGGCTGGAAGCCGTTCTGATGAGGCAAAGAAAAGTGATTGGATTCGAGATGTACCCTGATCGGACCATTTATCATGCATTTAAATCATTTTGATTCCCATCTGGTCAAAGCGATAGGTCAAAACTAGAGGGATCAGAATGAGGCGAGGCTTGAGAATGGGTATGAAAGTACCAAAGCGCCAAGTGGGAGGAAAGCGTCTTCCAACCAAATATTGTTATAAGCTGAAAGAAGATTTGTAGCCCTAGCTTCAGATGAGTTTTCGGAGAAAGGATATGGTAGTTGACCAGCGCCCACGATATTATTTCCACACGCGCTCATGGCAAGACGGCTCAAAACATGTGAAACGTGAGATGTTTCAAAACGTGCACAAGGCGCATTATAGGCATCGGCGCTGCCGCTGTCAGTCACATGTCGAGAGGGTGTCGTTCAGTAATGTAGACGTGTGCCTTGTGAATTGTTCCCGGGATGAAAATGGCACGTAGTTGGGTTGGCGGGTTGAAACTTGGCGGGTTGAAAAGCAGCATCTCTAGTCTGACCTGTCTGGCCCGGGCGCCGGCAGGGTGCACGAGGAGCACTTCCCTGACATCGAGCTGCCGTCCGGCGCCAAAATCGGTGCTTGCCAGACAGAGCGCAGCGCCTTCCTGCCCAACTTCAACTCGAACCTCTTCTTCCTGGTGCTGCTGCCGCCGTGAGTATGGACGGCGACGGTGCGACGGTGCGATGGTGCGCCGTGTTCCGGCGTGACGGTGCACCATCGCGCCGATCAGAGCACACCCTCCAGCAACGGCAGACAAAGCATGCGGCTTAGCTTGAAGCCAAATGTCGCGTCGAACCGCTGGAAATCGTTATCGGGATGATTTGTGCTGTTTTCTTAGCAGCCCACACACCGTGAGTCTGTGGCAAGAGAGGTTTATTCTTTACAGATAAATCTGTTCGTTGTCACGTCGCTTGTCACAAACACAATACCTTACAGCAGACCACGAAACCAGAGGAACCATCAGGTCCGGCATTTCACCTAATAACACATTCTGCCCAAAGCGCTTCAATTCCGTATCGTCGCGGGATAATGCGCCCACACCCCTCCCTCCCGCCACGTCGGCACCGCCTGTAACGGTGTCGACGATTGCAGCATCATCCTGGAGGCGGCGTACTCGCTGCACGACCGCACGTTCGCCGACAACCTGGGCACGATCCTGCTCTACGCGGTGGTGGTGAGTGGTGCCTGGCGTCCCTGCTGCGGGACGCTGCGAGGCGGTGGGCCGGGGTCGGGGCCGGGGCCGGGGCCGGGGCCGGGGCTGGGGCCGGGGCTGGGGTCGGGGCGGACTCAGCGGCTGTACACAACTGCATAATCAGCCTCCGTAGCCGCCGCAATGCACAGCTGCCTTTGCGGTGGTGAGAGGGGGGGGGGGGGGGCACAGGCGATGGCTTTGCTGTCTGGGGCTCAGCACACTTGGTTGGTGACCGCGAGAAGCAAGTCGTTACACAGGCGGTTAGGTTTTATGCCTCGGAGGATTAGGTGTCCTTTCACACCCAAATTTTTTTTGTAACCGCCAACAGCCTTTGGTGGCCACAAGACATGCGCTTCGGTCGGCACGTGACATGTCTGACGCTGGCGACAGGACCAGCCACACGGGGACGGCGTGTCACGTGACACGATGGGGACGGCGTGGACGACGACGTGCCCTTGTGGAATGTTTCAGAACAGTTATGCTGCATCCTTCTCCGATTGGCTTTCAGAGCTATACAGTTAACATGTTATTCATAACACGGAAGTGTCGCGCGATGACCAATGTTGTGGCTGATGCCATAGGATCTATCAAATTAGCTGTGTACGCCAGACGGTTCATCAGAAAGCCTTTTCTGATTCCTCTTGTTCCGTCATATCGCGTCCTGCCCTTCTCTGATTTAACAATTCTCGCTGAGTCCTCCCGGCTGCTTACCTTGCTGAGAGCATGTCGCGGACTCACTACCCGTCGGCTCCACAGCCAGTCCGGCTGCGAGTCCACCAGAGTACCCGTACACACCGCGGTGTAGGGTGCTAGAGTACCCGCACACATCCCGACGTGGGGTTCTAGAGTACCCGTACACACCCCGGTGTAGGGTGCTAGAGTACCCGCACACACCCCGACGTGGGGTTCTAGAGTACCCGTACACACCCCGACGTGGGGTTCTAGAGTACCGGTACACACCCCGACGTGGGGTGCTAGAGTACCCGCACACACCCCGACGTGGGGTCCTAGAGTACCCGCACACACCCCGACGTGGGGTCCTAGAGTACCCATACACACCCCGACGTGGGGTCCTAGAGTACCCGTAGACACCCCAACGTGGGGTCCTAGAGTACCCATACACACCCCGGCGTTGGGTCCTAGAGTATCCGTACACACCCCGGCGTTGGGTCCTAGAGTATCCGTACACACCCCGGCGTTGGGTCCTAGAGTATCCGTACACACCCCGGCGTTGGGTCCTAGAGTACCCATACACACTCCAACGCGTGGTCCTAGAGTACCCGTACACACCCCGGTATAGGGTCCTAGAGTACCCGTACACACCCCGACGTGGGGTCCTAGAGTACCCGTACACACCCAGGTGTAGAGTCCTAGAGTACCCGTACACACCCCGGCGTTGGGTCCTAGAGTATCCGTACACACCCCGGCGTTGGGTCCTAGAGTATCCGTACACACCCCGGCGTTGGGTCCTAGAGTATCCGTACACACCCCGGCGTTGGGTCTCAGAGTACCCGTACACACCCCAACGCGTGGTCCTAGAGTATCCGTACACACCCCGGCGTTGGGTCCTAGAGCACCCGTACATACCCCAGCGTGGCGTCCTAGAGTACCCGTACACACCCCGGCGTTGGGTCCTGGAGTACCCGTACACACCCCGGCGTTGGGTCCTAGAGTACCCGTACACACCCCAACGCGTGGTCCTAGAGTATCCGTACACACCCCGGCGTTGGGTCCTAGAGTACCCGTACACACCCAGGCGTAGGGCCCGGTGTGGAGTCAGATTCGGTGGCGGTGACGTGCACACACCCCGGCGTGGGGTCCTAGAGTACCCGTACACACCCCGGCGTTGGGTCCTAGATTGTCCGTACACACCCAGGCGTGGGGCCCGGTGTGGAGTCAGATTCGGTGGCGGTGACGCGCACACACCCCGGCGTGGGGTCCTAGAGTACCCGTACACACCCAGGCGTTGGGTCCTAGAGTACCCGTACACACTCAGGTGTGGGGCCACCGTGTGGAGTCAGACCCGGCAGCGGCGACCCACTACGGCCGCGGTAATGTCCGCCTAGCGCTCCAATAAAAACGGTGTAACGACGCGCCTCTCGCTCCCTTTTTAGAATTGCCCTGTAAGAAAACATGTCAAAAGATCAATCAACGAGCACTTCGCCGTAACAAATCGTGATGGCAAATTGGTTCACTCCGCTCTGTCTTCATATAACGGGTCAATTTACACCAACCGCTGATAAATGCGATCAAGAAGCGGATGATGGTTTCTTGACCCAAACGGACGCACACCGCTGGCAGCGTGCACCAGCGTATCACATCCTTCCCCACCTCATGTAACGCGCTCGGGGACCACGAACCGGGCCCGTGCTGCTGATCCTCCCAGAGTCAGCGCCTGGCGCCGCCACTGTTGTGACTGGCGCGTGCCGCCCTCACTGCGTGAGTGAGCCTGTCAACAGATGGCGCTGGGAGAGACGCGCCGATTCAGCGTCACGTTTTGCTGATTGCAACGACCTTGGCGCGAGTGGAGAAGGTTTTCCGGCGGTCCTCCCGACCGCTAAAGAACAGTCTGAGCCTCCGTCACCGTGGGCTTGTTACAGGCTCGAGCTATTGTTAGCTGACACTAGGGCGGCATACTTTTCTGAGCAAACAGGTCGCTGGCCAGTACAGCACAATGGTTGCAGATAGACAGGCATTGGACATTTTTACATTCTTTCTATCTCTCTCCTTAATTTTTGAAGAAAACTCAATCATATATAGCCTGAAACTTGGATGTCACGTGCAAGGTACATCGTTTTGAGTTTTTGTGTGTAACTGTGGCAAAGTGGATATATTTATGTGAATATTGCTGAGAAACCTCTTGTAAGGAGCCACGTGGAGTTAAATGGCGTCGGTCTACTCCTCCCGCTGCGCTGTCGCCGTCAGTTTCGAGACGCTGAACGAACCCTCGGCGACTGGCACTGTCGACATTGGGTGTGTGCTGACCCACCAACCCGTCATGTAACGATGTCCATTTAAAGGACCGCAGGGCACGCAGGCTCAGCCCGTCAGCGGGCAAACACGGCACGATGACACTGACAGATAGCCATAGGCCGCTGAAGAGATTTCGCACAATAAAGCTCCTCCTGCTGAATAATTCACACATTGTAGCAAGGGTGTGCGTAAACTTGTTCAGATTTCTCGGAGCTATTTTCCAAGTCAGGCCGTTGGTTTCGTGCGTTGGCGCCGTGCGCTTTGGCGCAGTAATTCCTCACAATCACCAAACCGGCCGATGAGTCAGCCGTGTCGAATGCGGATGAGCGCCGCCATTGAGAAAGATGCTCCTGCGAACTGTGACCGACCAATCCAGCACGAGTGACATGTGCGCTGGTCATGCATCGCGGATAGGTTATCAACGTCCTCCGCTCGCTTTTGACTTATGCTTGGCTTTCTCAACCATCGTTTTCGCGTTACAGGGCACGCTGTTCAACATGTTCACCATCGGACCTCTCCTGTACGGCCTGGCCAAGCTGGGTGCCATGGGCTCCAGCATGTTCCCGGCCTACGCCAACTACGACATCGCCAACATCAGGTCAGTGGCGCCGGCACCGAGGGCCACCGAGGCTATACTACGCTGAGGTGTCTGCGGAGCCGAACCCCCGGGTCCTGACCGGGTGCCGGTGGCTACGCCAACACGATACCTATGATGGCTTTGTAATGGCTGCTGGCTGTCATTTAGCGCATTCTCGGCCTCCATCAAAGAGCGCATTGACGTCATGTCCCGTCATGCCTGCTTTGTACGTTTTGACCTAAAACCGTTGGGTTCCGGATTCCTGTCCTCCATTGTTTACAGTGCTTGCGGTTTAATCTGTTTCTTCAGGGCTTCAGCAGTGCCACGTGTATCAAATGAATGTTCGCCTCTTTAAAAAAAAAACAGGCATGCATTATGCATGTAAATTATTAGACATTACGTCGGCGCATCCGTAGCGTTTGTAGTGTGTAAATTGCCCAGGTCATTATGAAAATGTTATCACTACTGGGACATTCTGATTCTGGAAACAATAAGATTGTAAAAATGTGTTCGAGTGGCTGCTAACACCACCTTATGGGCCTTCGACACCATTTATTTTTCGCCGCCAGCCTTCTCCTGCCAAAATGCATTCTTGGTTTACATGATATTTGCCCTCTGGAATAGAGCAATGGCTAATAACTATGCTTGTGATAGAAGCCGTTTGTGGCAAAAAAAAAAAATCATTGGGGAAGGTAATACAGGTAGTGTAAGCAACGCCGTTGCTCAGCGCAAAACACACTCAGCGCCACAGCCAACCGAGGCGGTATTCACCACTGCGGCAATGCAGTCGCCGTCCCAATTCCGTGGCGCCGCAGTAGGTCACCCCGTACCGCACCGCCCCCTCACCAGCCGGTACATTTGTCTGCCGTGTCGCCGCTAGCCCCCTGCCGAGGGCCGGCCGGCCGTCACGGTCACCAGCGGCTCGCAGCGGGGCCACTGTGGCCGGCCAGCCCGCGCGGCCGCGGCCAGCGCTCAAGGGATTAGGCGGGTCCGCGTGCTGGCCAAGCCACGAGCCGCCGCCGCCGCCGCCGGCCGCCGCCGGGGCCTTAAGCCGGCGACCGCCTCACCACCAGCCGGGCACTGGCTGTACTGAGCCCTGCCGCTCGTACCGCTGCCCTGGGAACCACGTGCGGAGGTGTTCGGAGGGACATGGCTGGCAGGGCGGGTGGTTCGTAAGCGGATTACGCTGCGGCACCTAGCGCACCGATCTACGCAAATACATCGGCCGCTTTAAAAAAAAAAAATGATGGTGCGAAGAAGCCGGGACCCAGAGGCACACAAGCTCATGCGTGCAAACAATCGAATATTTCACCAGCTCCTGTAGCTGGGGTCAGACGAATGGCTCGCATGTCGCTGGTCATCAAGGGCGTTTGAGCCAAGACAGGTCAGCACCAAACCCAGACAGCGCACAGAGGAGATGCTTAGTCTAATTGGGCTTCAAAGAGCACTAGAATTTTAGTTGTTTTGCTCAGAGCATATGGGGAGATGCTTTTGGCAATTGCTTACAATTGCTGGCTGCGCAATCTAACGAGTCATCAAAACAGGTGATGCATGCAGAGAAAGAAAATGCATGGGTTGGAGGAATTTGGATGGATTTATGTGTCTTTAACAGCACCGTGAAAAATCAGTGGCGACAGCTTTCTGTTTTGTCTTTGCTATATGTCTTTGACAGCTCTGTTAAAACTATCCTTCTCCCGTGATAACGGACTACACATTCTAATGGCCGCCTCAATTACTCCGGATTCCCAGAGCTTGCATTATCCAGCATTAATACATAATCAATATGCAGGCTACACCGCTAATTTCGTTTGGCTGAGAGGCGTCCCTGGCGCCACTGCGGCGTTTGCTTCGGAAGCGTTTCTGGCGCCACTGCGACGGGCCGAGTGTGGGCCTCGAGTGCCTTCGGACATTCTGTGCTGAATGCCTGTGAACATCTCCTAGATAATGGAACAAGCTTAACACTCCCATGGCGGTGATGTGTTGTGTGAGCCGAGCATGCTTACAGTCGCGGTCCGTGGTTCAGGTGCTACGCATGCTTACAGTCGCGGTCCGTGGCCCAGGTGCTACGCCTGCTTACAATCGCGGTCCGTGGCTCAGGTGCCACGCCTGCTTACAATCGCGGTCCGTGGCTCAGGTGCTACGCCTGCTTACAGTCGCGGTCCGTGGTTCAGGTGCTACGCCTGCTTACAGTCGCGGTCCGTGGCCCAGGTGCTACGCCTGCTTACAGTTGCGGTCCGTGGCCCAGGTGCTACGCCTGCTTACAATCGCGGTCCGTGGTTCAGGTGCTACGCCTGCTTACAGTCGCGGTCCGTGGCTCAGGCGCTACGCCTGCTTACAGTCGCGGTCCGTGGTTCAGGTGCTTCGTCTCCTGCAGCAACTGACTGCTCAACCCTTTGAGCTTCTTTGCCAATTCGAGTGACGTCAGTAAGCTACCAAAGCCACCCACGTATTCAGTAAGCTGTCTCGTTTATGAGGACTGGCCACCTGCTGGGTGCACCGGGCAACACGCGATGTATCCCCACAAGCTGCTCCACGCATTCAGATTCCTTTAGCTCTCACGCGTCTTGGGTTTTACGTCTTTTGCAATGAGGATGCAAACAGTAACGCCGTGGCTTGCTGCCGCAGTTTGGTGCAGATGCTGACCTTCTCGTCGCTGATCGTGGCGGTGGATCCTGTGGCCGTGCTGGCCATCTTCCAGGAGGTCGGCGTCAACAAGGACCTCTACTTCCTCGTGTTCGGGGAGAGTCTGCTGAACGGTCAGTGGCAGGAGACGGCGAAATATCGACACTATAACATCATGACTTGTGTTGCCATTGGAAAAGTGGATGATGCTGGGAAATGTAGATCATAATACTATTCTAGGAACAAAAGACTTGTGTCGAATGTTTTCATAAGCCCATGCTTGTGGTTGTCCATCTGGAACAGATGTGGTCATTTTCTGTTCGAGTAATACATCGCATCTCCTTTGAGCGAGAACACTACAATCTCAACAATTATGAGTATCGCATGTGCCGACGACCACCGCGCAAGCGTAATGCTCCCTTACTAATAAATGGCAAGCCTTCTTTCATACGTCTAATTTATGTCCAGATTACACTTTTATACAACACGTGAAATTCGTCTTCGATGGTGGTTAAGGAAAGATTCTCGATGCGACTTATTTCAAAATTAGTTTTTGTGAAGGAGACCAGCTAGCGGAGCTATGCTGGTGATACAGGCGCAGAGAACAGCATCGATCCCGCGGCTGGAGCTGCAGCAGCCTTGTTACTGCCTGTCCACAGACGCTGTCACGGTGGTGCTCTACAACGCGATGGTGGCATTCGCCGGTCAGGATGGCGAGGTCATCACCTACGACCAGCTACTGCTAGCCGTGGCCGCCTTTTTCTGCGTGTCGCTGGGCGGCCTGACCATCGGCATCATCTTCGGCGTGCTCACCGCCATCATCACCAAGCACACGTCCGAGCTCCCCGGTGAGACGACCGGCCTCACACGCAGTCCGATGTCGTGCCTGGCCGGAGGCTCAGGCAAGCGGGACGCGTAAGAGGCCCCGGCCGCTGGCGCGAGGACCGTCTCGTTGACACGCAGCCTCCCCTCCCCCCCCCCTCCCTGAATTCTAGCGAGGCACGGCGCAATTTTTCGCATGATCTTCGCGATCAGCTGATGACAGGACTTATTGGCCTACGCCAAAGACTTCGCCGAGGCCTGTTAACCTTAAAAGAGTTGGTACGATGCAGATTCATCCCGGTCCCACTAACCGGCCTCATTCGTCCAAATTACAGTAAAATTCCGTTTGTAATAATACCCACGCGCATGCCACGGACGAGGTAACCGCACAGACACGCTCACGCGCTCCACTCTCTCAGCGTAGTACGACATTGATGACAACACTGCTGACGACATTGAGCGATGCATTCACATTGCGTTAGCCTTGACCGTCACGTCCTGCCGGCGTCCGGCCAAAAAAGTATGACCTTCTGAGGATGTGAACCTGCTGGCAAGTCACGTGACATTGTACGCCCGGGGACGCCGGACTTTCGGCGACAGACCACCGGACGTGTGTGGTGACCGGATGACCGGACGTGCGTGGTGACAGACCATCGGACGTGTGTGGTGACCAGAGTGTGTGGTGACGGTGTGAGCGACAGAGATGCCGCATCGTAAAGCGCAGCGGTGGTTCTATGACAGATTCATAGAGGACAGGCTCACTCCGAAGGGCTTAGGCTAGTGAAAAAGCCACGGCATTTGTGGCACCGCCTATCGGGTCGCGCCTCCGATGCTCAGCACGGCCTCTAAGTCCCGGGCATCTGGCACTAACTAGCCCGGCCGATGACGTCAGCCTGCAGACCGCACCCGGCTGCCGCACACTTTGGGTTCCTAGACCCATGACCGGCTGAAGGCCATTCCTGTGCAGTGGCTTTCGGCTGCTAGACGCGGAGGGTAACCGTTGGGGAACACACGCGAGACGAGTCCTCTGCATCTCATCCGATTTCATGCTGGTTGGCCTAACAACATGTTTACTTTTGCTTCAATGATAAAATGCTCCTCCGGCAGGCAAGCTGTCCGCGAGGTTGTCGAAGCAAAACGCTTGGCTTAAAGAAACAAAAACGCAGCCTTCACGGCTAATACATCTTGCCTGCCACTGGCATCGCACCAGAGGGGCGTCAAACCACTCCTGCTGTCAGGGCGAGCCAGGGTCACCGGGGTCATGTCGTACCTGTCGACCAGTCGACATTGAAGGGGAGGGCGCCCAAATACGGTTACGGACGTCACTGGCCAGCGTCGTGACGGTCGTGGCGTCAACTGTGACGCAGACCTCAAGCCACCTACGTCAGCTCCGTCTGCCCTCGCAGAACACGTGACGCAGCTGTGGGGCCAGGTTGCTGGTGATGTTGAGCCAGCAGACTTGAGCACCAGAGACTGGGTGTCACCTGTGTGAGAGTCGGTCACGGGGGCCGAACCGTGTGGCGGATAACCAATGGGACGACGCACGGTGAACTGAAGCGGAGCGAACAGTATGAACGGACGTGACCTTAACGCCATTGCCCAGTCGCTAGCCGTGGACAGCGGCATGCGCCGCTGCAAGGGCTTTACTGGCATACAATACTCGCTGAAGGAGTGTTTTGTCGCTCCGTGACGCAATGGGTGGAGGACGTGACGCGTGACAGAAGGCTCCCTGCGGAGCATGCCTACAGTGGGCCCTTATCAGGTCACGCGTGGCTGAAAGGTCGTGGTGGGAGGTGGGTGGACCTGCACCCATCTGACGGCCTTCCCCACTCCTGGTTGTCGGAAATCACTGCAGTCAGCAGAGAACCAAGTCCGCATGGTTGCCAAGGATACAGGATGATTTTCCGTCAGATTACGTGCTGCAGCCATGTCGAGCGTAAGGGATTACGTCGTTGAGTGCTGTTGTTTTTCAGTGGTGGAGCCGCTATCTCTGCTGGCACTGTCGTACCTGGCCTACCTCTCAGCGGAGCTGGTCCACTTCTCCGGCATCATAGCCACTGTCGGCTGTGGAGTGGTGCAAGCACACTATGCCACCAAGAACATCTCCAAGAACTCATACATTACCATCAAGTATTTCGTCAGCATGGCTAGGTGCACACTACTTTTTTATATCTAATTCTAGCAATATGCTTTTGCTTAGCAGATATCAGAAACATTAAAGCGTGTTTAAAACTGAGCAGCGCAAGTCGGGAGCTGCTTCGCTTGAACTGAGGATGCTCAAGTGAAATCCATATCCGTTGCCACAAAAGGCGTCGCTTCACGGCGTGCCCAACGGGCCGAAAAGAGTAGCTGTACGGTCAGCATCACCGTCTGAGCCCCGTCTACGCCGGCAGCTCCACCAGCGACACCATCATCTTCATGTTCCTGGGGATGGTGCTCATCAGTGACGACCACCGCTGGCACACGGGCTTCTGCCTCTGGACCCTGGTGCTGTGCCTCGTCTTCCGATTCATTGGTTAGTTTGTGTCGCGTCTTCCAATTCGTCGGTAGGTCTGTGCCGCGTCTTCCGATTCGTCGGTGGATTTGTGACGTGTTTTCCGGTTCGTCGGAAGTTCCGCGCTCCGGTTCCGCGCGACGCTGCAGTGTCGCTGAGTGCACTGGCTATAATATTGCTCTCTCACTGCTTCCGAGCCGTCTCTGATGTCTCTGCTGGCCGCTGAGAACCGCACCTGCTCTCTTTGTACCGCGCCTTTGTGCCTCTGACCGTCGTATATGTCTTCGGTTTAGTCGGGTAGGGAGACGATATCTCAGTGGCCTGTTTGGATATATATATATATATATATATATATATATATATATATATATATATATACTTGCATGTGTGTGCGTGCGTTACTTCACCGTCTTGAAATAATGAAACACACATATCACGCACCAACTCCCCTTTGGTCGTCTTGTTGCTTGCAACTACACGAACTAATTTATAATTTCGAACACACATTCCCATTGAATGGCTAACTCAACGTTTCTGAAGAGGCCTGAAGCTCCTGCGAGACTTTGTAGCTACTTGTATGACATCGTCGAAACGTGTTGTGACACTGGCTGTCGTCCGGCAGGCGTGTACCTCCTCACAGCGCTGGCGAACCGAAACCGGATGAACCGCATCGGTCGGAAGGAGCAGTTCATCATGGCGTACGGAGGCCTGCGCGGCGCCGTCGGCTTCTCGCTGGTGGTCATGCTGGGCGATGACGTCATAGACAAGGAGACGGCCCAGGTGTTCGTCACCTGCACACTCTTCATCGTCCTCTTCACCGTGTTCGTGCAGGTGCGGTGCGGTTGAAGGGGTGTGCGTAGTTGTATATGGCTTCCGGACTGGACCCGCTGATTGGTCGCAGCGATCCGTTGAACCGCCGCGGCTCTGCGCGTGTTGTGCCGGAACCCGGGCTAACTGTGGCGTCCGCTGCTGTCAGGGGTCTACCATCAAAGTTCTCGTCAACATATTCCGCATCAAACTGGACGAGAACGAGGAGAAAACCTTGGCAGAGGAGATTGTAACGTCTTCGCTTGACCACATTGCCGAGGGCATTGAAGAAATTGTCGGCTTTGGAGGCTTGAATCGATTGAAGGTGAGAGGCGAAATGGCATCGCGAGTAGCTTGATTTATTTGAAAGTGGATGCGTTATCGGAATGGCCAGACTCGGTGCTTTAGTGGTTGTTGAAGGGATTGTGTTTGACAGCATCTTTGCGCGAAACTGACTGCAATCCCAAACCACTGTGCGTAATGTTGATTTATAATCTACTTCCTGATGCTTTGATTTAATTCGCTGTTGCGTAATTCCAACTTGTGCTTACTTGTGTTGCTTTACAAAACCGATTTTGACATGCTTTCATGAAACCTGCGTTGACTAGCGGGCCAGCACCAAGACAGACCGTTTGGCTTCATGCACAACTCCGCCTGCCTAGCTCTAAACCGATATCAAAACAATCCGCGCAAATAGTTTCAGCCACACGTCACATACCTGACGCGCCAGCTATGGTGGTGGGACGGTGTCGTTCGATGCTGGATGCGCACTCGGGCAATACAAAGCCAAGCAAGCCCCACGAGGGAAGCCTCGCGAGAAGCTCATTTCACGTCGCGGATTTCCGACGCGTTTCACGCGGCATTTATCGGCGGCAGGAGCGGCTGGAAACGTTTGACGAGAACTACCTGACGCCGTGGCTGGTGCACACGGCACCAATGTCGGCTCTGGCGCGGCTCTACGACAAGCTGGTGCTGGACGAACACTACGCCAACTTGTACGGCCCGGCCGCCGTGCTGGAGACGCAGAAGGACTACGACACCAACTCCGTAGTGTCCTCGCTGCCTGCGTACCCCTCGCTTGGCCACAGAGACGTGAGAATTGGTGTGACGGGGTGTCTGTCGACCCCGCCCTGGACTGTGTACTGTTGCAGGCTTTGGGCTGGTGCAACAGGAATCTTATTGGGGCATGCAGCCTACCTCTTCTATCCGAGGAGGAACTTAGCTATTGATGTAATTAAGCCAACGTTAAGCTCGCGATTGGTCGAGGAATGGTTGAGGTGGGACTTAAACCTCCCGTCAACGCGCCTCAGCCCCAGTTGTGCGGCGTGTGTTCTGCCGGCTGAGCACCTCTCCTGACGCGTCCCATCCCCGCCTCCCTCAGCGAGCGGGCTCTATTTTGCCGGAGGATCTGCCTCTGGAGATCGAGCCCGGCTGGATGAGGCGCAAGTCCATGTTGAGCTCGCACAACGTCAACATCGCCCGCCGGCTGTCGTCTGCCGCCAACCTGCCGCTGCCAGAGGACGAGCTAGTGAGTCACGGGTCACGGTCAGACGAGGAGCTGGCGAGTCACGGGTCACGGTCAGACGAGGAGCTGGTGAGTCACGGGTCACGGTCAGACGAGCAGCTGGCGAGTCACGGGTCACGGTCAGACGAGCAGCTGGTGAGTCACGGGTCACGGTCAGACGAGCAGCTGGCGAGTCATGAGTCCACCGCCGCCCGAGGACTAACTGGAGGTGCTCGTCCAATGCGCACTGTTCATGCCTCAAAGCCTGTTTATGTGACCTGGCCGACTTCTGCATGTGACCCAGCCAACCCCTGTATACATGCCACTCGGCTGACCTCTCCGCCGCGCGCGGCGCCGGCAGAACTGGCTGCGTCGGATCTCGACCGCCTCGCCGGAGCTGCCGATGGCGCGCCCGTCGCTGAGCGACGCCCGCCGGCCGTCGCTGCTGCCGCACGACGGGCGCCGCTCCTCGACGCTGCCCTCCGACGGCAGGCTGGGCGCGCTGGCGCCGCCGGCCGCGCACACCGGCCGGCGCACCTCTATCGTCGACGGGCTCAAGACCAGCCTGGCGCGACGGCTCTCCGTGTTCGGCGCCACCGTGCAAGACCAGAAGTACGGGGGCTTGGTGGCGGACGGACGGGACGGGGTGGGGTGGCGCGCCGTGTTTTGTGTGGGTGGTTTGTGCGTGTGTTGATGTTACGTCCGTCTGCAGTTATGCCTGTCGACGAAGTCTGAACTCAAGGTATGACCGTCCTAGTGAGAACGATGCACAGAGTGGTGGTAATCTGAACTAAATGTATAACTGTTCTAATGAGAACGATGCACAGAGTGGTGGTAATCTGAACTCAAGGTATGACCGTCCTAGTGAGAACGATGCACAGAGTGGTGGTAATCTGAACTAAATGTATAACTGTTCTAATGAGAACGATGCACAGAGCGGCGGTAATCACTCGTCAACATTCCCGTATCCATCTTTTGCTCCCAATGCTTGAATAATGGACCATGCACAGCCTATATTTTAACCGTAGCCACTCGCCAATCGGCATGGCTCCACCTTTGCGCTAGAAGTGGAGCCTCCTGCTCGTGACCACCCCTGAGAGGCTCAGGGCACGCCTTCTGGAGGCCGTCAGGCTGCCCACCACTGACCGCCGCACCCTCGCCACCCACACAGAGATCATGATGAGGAGGTGGGCGGGCGGCGCGACTCTGTCTTCCTGCGGCCGACATCACCGCAGAGCGACGCCCAGCTGTTGCGACACGCCATTCGAGACAACCCCTTCAACAAGGTGAGGACGGCTGGCACGTGCCGGAAACGCCACCCACCACCGGAAACATCGGGCTCGCCAATACCCGAGTGGCTGCGGCGGATGTTAGAGGAGCTGACAGGTCGAGTGCATGAGCCTGACGCGCTACCGCTGCTCTAGGAAAAGTGCCCTTTGCCTTGACATTACCGTTATGCAAAAGCTCGGTAGACTTTAAAACGGTCTCAGCAAGCTGCATGAGCCCACTTTCCGTGATGAGCGTGAATATTACGACATTGTCGCCGTGGCGACGGTAGACACCACAGACTACACCAGTGGGACGAAATCTAACCAGTCGTGAGAAGATCCGCCTGGAACTACAAAGCTAATTACGTGGCAGCTTGTCAGCTGGGCTGTCGCGGCGTGTCTAGCGGCGTGTGAGGCGCACGGGGACTCACCGAACGACCGACAGGCGCGCGCCAGACGGCTCCCTCACCTTCTGCTGTCTCTGTGGAGACCAAACAATCATTAGCTTATCTCCGAGGTGCTCCACGCTGCAGCTCAGCCCACGCCATGGGCACGGCGGTGTCTCGCACTGACTGACCGCTGGCGCCGCGTGCTGTCATTAACGTCGCAGTGTCATTGGCAACGGCGTAGTGTCACTGCTGGATGTCGTTGCCGTGCCGGGCTGCGCTGACCCCGCCCCCCCCCCCCCTCCCCTTGCCCCGCCCGCAGCTACACTTCCGCTACAACCCGAACCTGATCGACGAGGAGGACCAAGAGATGGAGTCGCACCTGCGGCGGCGGCGCATGAACGCGCGCCGCATGTCCCAGATGGTGATGCTGCCGCCGACGGCGCAGACCATGCTGGCCGGGCTGGCCGAGCAGGGCGAGAGCTCCGCGCAGGATTCGCCGCTCTCGCGGGCGAGCACGCGCCGTCAGTCGCACCGCATCCGCCGCTCGCTGAAGGAGACGCCGCCGGCGCGCAGCCGCAGCAACTCACTCCAGGTGAACGGTGGCGGAGGGTGGGGTGGGTCATGGGACATGGCGCAGCGGGGGCCGTGCACCTTGACGGTCATGTGCGCGGGAGTGTCGTCTGCGCGTGTCTCTTAGTGATTCAGTATCATCGCATGAAGGCTTGTAACGCGGCATTGTGCTCAACACAAAGCGTTAAGTGTTGTTACATGGAGGGGAGTGAAAGGCGCTTCATTCTCTGGCTGAATGAAGATCGTTGAGGAAACTTGTGGCCATCTGGGCTGGGTGCACCACTCCGTGGTGGCCACTGGCACCTGGTGAGGGAGGAGGACTCATCCTGACACGGGATACCATGCCGTTTCATGATAAGACACGTCACACATCCACGATTACATAATGCAGATGAGAATGACCGTGACTCGTGGTACTGAAATATCTTGCAGTTGGGTTCATACTGTGAGGGACAAACATTACATGCAACGGTAATATTTGTGTTCTCACGAATCCATGACAAGGTTTTTTCCACAAAATTTCTTGTGAAACGCTACGGGGTTGTAGATTTGGGGGCCGGAAATTATGCCAAGTAACCCCACGCCTCTCCGCAGCCCTCGCATCTTCAGAACGGTAACCAGCCGCCAGCCTTCGGAACGACCGCCCACAAGGTGCGCTCCGCCTGCCGTTCAGGCTCGTGACAGGCAGCAGCGCTCACTGCCGCCTTCGGCACGTCGGCTGCCAGTCAGCCGGCTTGCTCTGGTGGCTTACATATGTTAATGGGCCGCTTACGTGTGTGCGCAGCCAGACAAGATAGGCGCCGTCAATGTCCGGTCAGCACCGAGCTAGTCTCTGCATTTTGACGCCGGCGTTGTTACTGTTATCGCAGGATCTCGAGGTCTTTGTGCCTCCGTGTACGTCGGTGCCGTGTTTGACCGTACGCAGAGCTGCATGCATTATAGCCGGCACGAGCGCGGCGTTCAGCTGGCCAAGTCTGAGTGGAGAAACCCATCCTTGTGATGTTAGCAATGGAAATTTACCCGGTGTCGCATGTGTTAATAATACCTGCTTAGTGGCCACGGCGCCACCCGTGCTGGTTCCAAGCAATGAGCAATGTAATTGTTTTCCAAGCAGCGGAGGGGCGAGCATGGCCATTTTCGGTTATTTCTGTCCAGTCAGCGTCTATGAGGCCAACGCTAGATTCTCAGAAAGATAGGAGGGGGGGGGGGGGGGGGCTCAGCCCCTCTGGCCGCTTAGCTCCTGCGCCCCTGTCCCGGGCCGTCTGCGCTGGCCTGTGACCACCTGGGATGACTTTTGACTGCGCCTGCTGAACCCTGACCGCCCGTGCTGACCCCTGACCGCCCGTGCTGAATCCTGTCCGCGGTGCCGGCAGGCCTGGGTGGCCCCGTCGTTTGGCGGCGGCTCCTCATCGGCAGAGCCGGCGCGCGACGCTGAGCGCGGCGGCCACACCAACCCCACATTCGTCATCACCGAGGAGTCGGACTTCGAGTCGGAGACGGCCACGCCGCCGGTCTCGGAGGTGTCGTCGGGCCGGCGGACGGGCGCCTCCAGCCCGCGGCGCTCCTCCGCCGAATCTCGCGGCTCGCCGGCCGCGCACGACCGTCGCCGCGCGCCAGCATCGACGCATATGTCGCCAGCCACGTCACCGGTGGCGCACTACCGGCGCAGGTCCCCGCGCGGGTCGCCCGGGTCGACGAGGGCGTCGCGGGCGCCGCGGGACCGCTCCCGGTCGCCGCAGGGGTCGCAGGGATCGCCGCAGACGCCGCGGACGCCGCAGGAGGAGCGCCAGGCGCCGGGGCTGCGCGGCGCGCAGGGCAGCGGTCGGAGCTCGCCAGATTCGACCGTCTCGGCGCCGCTGCCGCTGCGACCGGTGCCGACCATCTCGGTCACGGCGGACGAAGAGGAGCCGGCGTCGTCGGCCGTGACGGAGGAGAGTCCGCCCGACGACACGCCAGAGGTCTGCGTCAGTAAACTCTGAGGTGGGTCAGACGCGGCAGCCGGCGAACTGTGGCGCGGCGAACAGCCGCGCCAAAACGGCGCCAGATTCGTGACACTCGTGGATGAGTGACGCGGTGGCGTGACGCCCACTTAGGCGCAATAGCCGAGGCGGCGGGGCACCAACACCAACTCCATCGACTCGGCAGTTCCTATGCAGTCTGACGAGCTTGACGGCCACGAAACTAGCGGCGGAGGTAGGAGGTGAGAATGGTACTCACACTCCCTCCACTGCTGAAGCTCAGTGTTGCCCGTCGCAGACCACGAGCTGGAAGTTTTCAAAGGAGAAGACCCGCATCCACTACGGCCTATTGCTCAAGCACATGACACCGGCAAGCTGGAGCCGCGTGCCTGACTGCCACGCCGGCTCCTCCGTGCCGGTGAGGAATGGATACGCTTCGGACTTTCCCGATGACACCGAGGCAAGAGCACTCTCCGCTCTGCAGCGTCACGCAGCCGGGACTGTCGCCTTCCGGGAGACGCCGTTCCCAGGCAGTGGTGGTAGAGCGGCGCCGGCCGCTGGCGCCGGCCTGCGGCGCGGTCCACTGTAGTCGTACACCTCGTGGTCTGGTCCGGTATGGCCTGGTCCGGTATGGCCTGGTCCGGTATGGTCTGGTCCGGTATGGCCTGGTCCGGTATGGCCTGGTCCGGTATGGTCTGGTCCTGTATGACCTGGTCCTGTATGGCCTGGTCCTTTATGGCCTGGTCCGGTATGGCTCGATCTAGTATGGCCTGGTCCGGTATGGAGTGGTTTGGTATGGCTTGGTCCGATATAACCTGGTCCGGTGTGGCGTGGTCCGGTATGGCGTGGTCCGGTATGGCGTGGTCCGGTATGGCGTGGTCCGGTATGGCATGATCCGGTATGGTCTGGTCCGGTATGGTCTGGTCCGGTATGGTCTGGTCCGGTATGGCGTGCCGTGGTTCAGCGCATACTGGCACTTGCGGTCGGCTAGGTCGCGGCCGCGCCGGCTCTGCCTCCGCCATCAGTGTTGCCTGCGAACTAGTGCTCGGCCGTTGCTGGACAAGAGGGGAAGGCGTTACGAAGGGGAGGGGGGAGGGGTGGTCTGGTTGACAATGTAGGCTGATGGTGTGTTATAACTCCGAGTGCATGACGGAAACTGTTGAACTCAGGTGCATCCCGAGTTTTGCCAAATTGGTTGTGGCGACTTTCGACTGATGCTCCGAAGTTGAGATGTGTCTGTTTTTGTAGGAGTCGCTCATTTTTAAATGTTTTACTCTGCAGTTTAAGTGTGCTTATCAGCGTCCCAGCCGCAAAGGGATTCAAGACTGTTTTTCATTCGATGCGCCGTTTCATCAGGATCAGTCGATGGTGTAGTGCTGTAGCGTGATCCCAATCCGGCCTGTTTCACTCTCGAAACGAATGTATACATGTCTGACCTTGCAGCTGTCGGGCTCGAAACGTGCGTCTAAGCCGTGTGCAATTTACGTGTCCGTGCGCTGGCAAGCTAAGCGTTTGTATCCGCCCACTCATCGATGCAAATGGCTGAATACTAATACACGGACAACTGAAGCAAGGCAGCATCGCCGCTCGTTCCTTTCTTGTGGCTCCTCTGATGACGGGAGACCATGTCTACCTGTGTCTCCACGCTCCCGGCGCCAGTCAGCGCCCCTGGCGGCCGCTCAGTGATTCGCGGCTGATCCTGGACTGATACGACATCTCCGGTGCTCCGGGCGTTCGCTGTCGGAATCACGGGACGTCCCACACCGCTGTTGCTGAGGTGGCGCCACAAGCGGCCGTCTAGGTGGCGCTGTCGGCGGGTCAAACCGCGGAGGCCGACCGTCGCCACACAACATGGGGAACTAAACCTCAAAGTTATCCGTGATTAAAACGACCGGATGATGCCGCCTCTGTTTATTTCATGTGATCGGGACCGATCAATGATCGTCTCGGGCTGAGCGCCCGGTGTGAGATCCGGCTTACTTCAGCTGAGCCAGCGCCTGGTCACCCAATCTCCACAAAGCCTGCACCGAGGGTGCGACCGGCACGCTGTCGGCGCCGCTCGGAGCCGCCGTGCGAAGCTGACGCCTCTGCTGACGCCCTGTCAGCGGGACCATCCGCTGACTGTGACCACGATGACGTCACTGGCCCGTGATGACGTCATCGGCCGGCAGGCGTGCAGCGCGCTGCTGGCCGGCCGCCAAGGGGTGCTTCGGTCGATGACCGACCCGGCCCCTGCCGCCGCCGGTCCACCCGCCGTCGGCCGCCGGAACGCGACCAGCCCACTCGTGGCTTTCGGCGCGTTGCATCAGCGGTGTCGGCGAGATGCATTGCTTGCGGTCGGCAGCGCTCTTGTGATGTGAGGTCATCGGGAGTATGAAGCGTTTTATTGGATTTGGGCTTATTGTTCCAACCTGGTGTGTGTCCTTCGGGGTTTATCGAAAAGCCCAGCTGTGCGAACAGACGTAGCGGAAGAGCTATACAGCGTTCCACACTGTGAAAAGGGGCTGCCAATGCCTCCTAGACCGAGTGAACTTTATTGATCGCATACCTCTCTCCATTCCCTCATGGGTAGACGGATTAACTGTGCCGCTTAACCATGGCGATGTAGTAAAACAAACGCAGTTACAAACTTCTGATTCTGTTGGGTGCGACCGGCTCCACAAAAGACGCTAGCTCAAAGGCATGTTCCAGTTACGTGAAAGTGACGAAACGAGATGCGTCATACCAATCTGTAAAGTGACGTAGCCAGCCAAATCACATTGATAAACAATTGGTTCGCTCAAATTCGACACGCCAGGTGACAGCACGAATGCTCGGAAACATTAAGCAGAGCTTCTGGTGCCGCCCAGGGTCTCTACCACAGTGGTTCCACCTCAGCCCTCGTTTTTCCGTTTGTTCGTTCGTTCGAATGAGAAGAACGCACTTAAACCACACGCTTCACAATGAGGGTTTTCTCGAACAATAGCTCCAGCGAGCGCATAGGGAAACCAACCTAACCCGACCACAGGCGATATGTGGCTGGTGATAGGAAGTTCTTCGCGTTCACAATGGTTCGTTCCTGGACATCGATGTAATACGGCGTTAAATGTGTGAAGCACGTACCGACGCTTATCGCCAGCTCCCCATCACGCTAAGCCTAACGCCAGTACCCACTGGTTGCAAGGACGCAGCCAGTCCTTCGTTCTAGTCATCCCATCAGGCGATCATTCGTGGCCATCCACCTGGGCTACACTGGACAACCGGCGCTTGACTCCTGTGCACGTGACGCTCAGTCTGTGCCTCGCAGCCGGCTCGCCTGCGGCTGTTGGTCTGCCGGCGGCGGCAGACGACAGGGCGCCCGAGGCGGCGGGCCTCCGCCAGCGGTTGGCCCGCTGCCAGCACGGTCTGCCGTGGCGGACCGGCTGCCCTGGCTGCGTCTGCCGCTGCCGCCCGGGGCCAGGCGGCGACCCCGCTGATCCCAGCAACAGGCTGGCCTCGGCAGTCACTGCTGGACTGCCTGGAGGGGCAGGCTGCCTGTGTTGGCAGCGGAAGCGTGACGCCTCGTTGACACTGTTCGTCTGAAGCGGGGAGGGGCAGGGGGGGGGGGGGGTACTGGCGGACCGCGGACGGGAAACCTGGCCTGCTACGTCGAAGGGGACGAGATTGTCTGTCTCCTGTGGTCCTTCGGGGACGAATGGGCGGCCTCAGGTGCTGTTTGACAAGTGGATGTCGGCGTCGGCACTTATCAGTACCGACGTTGTTGACGCATTACCCCGATCAGGGGGATTGGCGGATGCCACTAGATTCGAGTGACGTCATCTACAGCAGTTACAGACGTGCTTCCCCAGCATGCGTACACAGAGCGGTACCTAGCAACTCAAGTTCTCGGCAAATAAATCCGATATGTTTGACCACATGCCATTCCTGTGATCTTGCAGCGCATTTCCACCTGACATTACTCATCAAACGTCTAGCAAAAAAGGTTTCAGGTAGCAACAAACAGCATAAAACTGGCGTTTGCTGAATGTCCTGTGTCGTGAAAGGTGTTCTTTTCCCTGTTGACGCAAGTACATTTGCAACATTTGCGTGCACGTGCGCGCAGTATGCACTCCAGAGCGCGCACAAATTATTCTGTCCATTCCCTGTCGCGCTTGCAAATAAAAATGCTGCACACTTACATTCCCAGTGTAATATTTCGCTTGTTTGTTATCATTATGCCTCTCTCCCCCACATGACACCGCACTGCAAATGTCACGTAAACAGCACACACGTAATCGATTTTGTCATCGGGTCGGAACTTGCCAACATCCAGAGCTGGCAGCCATGGCCGCTGGCTCATCGCCGCGACGCCGCCGTCGTCCTTCGTCCGCACCATCGGCGGTGTTGGTCGGAGGGTCACGCCGACGGCCCTGTCGGCGCGTAATGGGAGGGCGGGCGCGCGCGTGCCAAGCCGCCCCGAGCCGAACGCATCGAAGCGGCGCCAATTCAGCCGCCGGCTCATAAAACAAACAGCGCCACTTCCTCGAACCGGCGGTAGGTGCGCCGTCTCGCCGCACCTCCTGTCTGGGTCTGAGCCCGGCTCTGGCTCGGTGGCGGAGCGCCGACAGAGGCGTGGTGACCCTCCGGCCGTCCCTACCAGACCGTCCGCGGTACGCGCCTACTCCGAACGTGACCCGGCTCCACTGCCAGCGGCCGCGGTGCCAGCGCCGGCGTCAACTTCGCGGAAGGCGATGCGCCCGCCACCTGTCGGTCGCACGCGGAACTCCGAGGATCGGGAAGGAGGGTGGGCTTTGCCCAGTTTCTTTGTCCTGTAAATTATGGAGAACGGAATCATGGCTAGGAACCTGATGTCACCAAGTCTGTTGTTTTTCTCCGGCAACGTGTGAGCAACCGAAAAGGACCGGAGCATTACCTGTTGTGATGGCGCAGGACCTACAAAACTCCCCAGAAGTCATGTTCAATAGCATTAACGTTTCATGCCTTCGGCACAATATAACTTTAGTAAAACCAGGCTAAAGTCAATGTCCTGAACTCGTCTGTCG